CCACTTTTAAACTCTTATGTTCAGTTTGTTAACAATGTTTTTTAAAGAAATAACCTAAAATAAAGTATTTTTAACTTAAGTTACACTCCATTAACATTGAATATTTGGAGGAATTTGCATTTTAAAATGCATTAACAATACCCCTATTTAGTTCCTTTCTTACCCAAAACTTCCAAAAACCCTCCGAAAATCCTACCCCCTTGCAATGGTTTTTCTCCTTTTTTCTTAAGCATTTCTTTCCTACAATTGCCATGGTTATCCTTGACAATTATTTTCCGCACTGAAGACTTTCTAAATGCAGCACACCATGGTGGATCCCTTATAATAATTGCCTAGGCCAAAAGGACCCAGCAAGAACCCGACCATCTCATTCTAGCCACCTTAATTGCAGCCGTCTTCTCTCTCGACTCCTAACCGAGTCAACTTTCCACCAACCAGCACTCAACACTCACTTATTATTAAGTTGTTTTCGAAACTAGCAAAAGGAAAAACACAGAGGCAGCAGCAACGGCAAGAGGAGGAGGCGGAGGAGACGGAGGAAAATCCTACCCCGGGAAAAGTTAAATTATAAAATCGTCAAAAGTTGACGAAGACATTTTGCGCCTATGCAAACAAACACACAAGGAAAATGCTCGACCAAAAAATGAGGAAAATTGCTGGCTGAGAAGGAGGAGAAGAAGGAAGAGGAGGCGGAGGAGCCACTTAAGATGCTTAGCGCCATGGCAAGCGAAAATAATGACGCTCATAAAAACTAACTAAACACAAAAATAAAGCAAATATATATATATATGTTTGTACTTATATATAGGATGCTCTTTAGGTTGGGGAGTGTTTTTAAGCTCGAAGGACGCACGCTTCCTGAATGACAACGATAATGATGTGCGATAATGTTTGTTGTTTCTTCGTTTGCTTTTGTTTATTGTGCTTTTTCATTTCACAATGCTCGAAATAATGATGAAGTTGTTATTGTTGTTGTTAAAGCTAAGACAACTGTCAAAAGACTTTGCCAAAGGATTAGTCGAGCTGTTGTCTTTCGCCCTGCTATACCCTGTAATAATAATAAAAGTGGGGAAGGATGTTTTGTAAGTTGTTTTAACATAAACACTAAAAACTAACAGAAAGGTTAAAACAAAGTATGAAAACTTAAAAATTACTTTATATTTTTTATTTATGCTCATTTTTATAAAATTCCTTTATCGTTATATTAATCTTAATAGGCCTTTTGGGTTTCAAAGCTATTTCTGATTAGTAATTAGGAAAACCTTTTTCATATGGAAAAGGAAATTCATTTAATTACTAAGTATTTTCATAGTCGATACAAACTTAAATACCACTTCTGACTGGTTTCCATTGCGCCTTTCCATTAGTTTGGTCCTGTTCTTATCGCAGTCGTAATTAAAATTGCAGCAGACGTAGTGAAGTTTTGTGCTTTCTTCCTCTTCGACACCCGCTCAGCCACTCTTCGATTTAATCGCTTTGACTGCCTCCTGCTGGTTGTAATTTATTTATTGCCCAAAATCGTTCCCACTCTTGATTTAACCTCCCTTTCCCCACTCTTTGGTTGTTGTATTTTTTAATTGATTAGAAACTTGAGTTTTGTTTTGTTTCTTTGCCTTCGATTGGCAAGAAGCCAGAAAATTTTCAGCCTCATTGAATTTCTTTGGGGGTTTTCTTTTTGCTCATCACCCTCTTTGACTCTCTTTTTCGATTCGCCAATTTTAGCAAATGACTTTCTTGGCAAAACTTTTATATTTGTTGATTCATTTATTTATAATGTCAAACGTTCGACTTGGCGAACAGATGAGATAGAGTTTGGTCATCAGTTAATGAAAAGTCTAGGAGAGGACTTTCTTTACTTTACTTTCGAATTTCTAAGAAATATGTAAAAAAAAAAAAGTTACAATCAAAGTTGGCTGCTTTGAGAGCTTGTCAAAACGTTTGAATGTTCAAATTAATTTTTTTAGTCGTAGTGTTTCCAAATCAGATTGTGTAGCGTACATATAATTTTATAAAAGTTCATCAATTTTCGGCTTCTTGGTGGCAAAATTCTCAATGTGTTAACTTTTCGGCCGTACCGCGTCACGTTCCATGCTTTTATCAATAATTAATAACAAATAAAAAAAAAAAAACAAAATATATATATATATGATTATATATATATATATATAAAGAAGAAGCTGCTCTCTCACCAAAAAAATAAAACTACAAAGGAAATAGCCTAGTTCTCCGCTTTCGGCTACAAAATTTTCAAGTGTAAAGAAGGAAAAAAGAAGAAATATTACAAATTCCTGCAGCCAGTGAAATAGGTGAGTGCGAAAAAGTTGTCCAAGTGTCGAGACCCAAAACCGGATATTGTGTAGTTGTCGAGTTGGGGCAGAGTGAGTGTTGGGGGGGGTGGATTAGTGTGTGGGTGGAGGACTGAGGTGTTCCTCGACTGCATGACAGATTATCGCAAGGACTCCCCGTCCTTTGAGTGTTCTCAACGGTTATTGAAATGGCTGCAATTGAGTTCGGAGTTCTCGAAGCTATTTAATTGCTGCCTGCCTCTAAGATAGAGGTGGTCGAACTTCCAAGGCTTTTTTGTTTTATCCAAATACTTATTTTGACATCTGGATTTTGGGTGACACTTAAATCTTAATATTTCTTAAGGGGAATTATATTTTAAAATGCCATTTCATATTGCTTAAAAATCAACTGTTTTACAATGGAACCAGTAATCATGAGCGTTCTGAAATTTGAAAAAAATTATCAAAAGTAATATTTTCAGATTTTAACGCCATTTGGATTGGGAATCGACTTACAAGCTCAACGAGGTTTAACACTTAACATTCTGATCATTTTTCGCTTTGTTATGGTCAAAATACTGACTTTTAGGACGAAAAATCTGGATGTGCCAAATGTTGCACTTTCGGAGGGATTCTATCATCTAATTTTGAGAAAAATGGCAAAAAATTTACATTTTAAACTATGAATGCAGTTTTATTGGGCATTGAATTACAATTCTAACGAGTTATAATAAATATTCCAAGTTCTGACCATTATTGGCTTTGTTATGCGAAAAATACTTATTTTTAGGGTGAGAAATCAGAGTAGTCCCAATTTTGGACGTTCATCTAATTTTGCGAAAAAATGCAAAAAATATACATTTTAAACTGTGAATGCAGTTTACGACCATTTTTGGATTTGCTATGAGAAGAGTACTGATTTTTAGGGTGTAAAATCCGTGTGGATTTTCGCCCTTTTTAGATAAAAAAAATTGACATTGGACAAAAATCTGACAAAAATGAACTTTTTCAATTTAAATGCAGTTCGATGCAGCTTAATCTGATTTTCTTAAACTGAAAATTGTTACCTAACTAACTAATCCTTGACCAATTCCCCGTGTTCAATCGAAGTCTTTTGGGCCATCTCTAGTTCGGGTCAATGAGGATGGAGCTCTGAAGAAGCAAGCAAGCAGTGCTCCTCCTTTACCCGCAGGTGTTGTAAGCCAGCAAACGAATCCTGGACCAGAGCCAAAGCTGCTTTCTCTCAAGTGCTAACTAATTTCGTTGTTGTCCTTACCGCTTCCGCTCCAAGTCCCTTCGCCTCCAAGGATGCTCTCTGCATCCTCGAGCTTAGCCTCATTCCCAGGCTCATCCTCATCATCGGTGGCGTCTTCCTGCAGTTTCGTTTTTGGTGTCAGCAACATTTCTTCAATTGGTTTCGTTTTGCCCTGCTGTTGTTGTTGTCGTCTTTGGTCCTTCGTGTCCTTTATAGAGTTTTATGCGATTTTTCTGTAGATTTTTTCGTTTCTCGTTTTCCGTATTGCAATCTTTTTGGCAAACTCTTGTGTGGCGCACAGTTGTTGACTCTGTTTCGGGGCCAAGCCAATTCCTTTTTGGCCCTGGCCAAGTCATCTCTTGGCTTGTTTCTGCTTTTTATGCACTTGTGCTGCCTTCCGATTTTCTTCTCCCCCATTTCTTCTCCCCTCTTCCAAATACGCTTTTCCCCCATATGATCTGGCTTCTGTTTCGAATTTTTATGGCCGCCGTCTCAGTTGTCGTTCCTTAACTTGGCCGAAAGTTGAGTTTCTTTCGGTTAAAACATGTCTCATTTGGATCGTAACAGTTAGCTTAATGTTTATGGTATTTGCCGTGTGTGGAGAGTTTCACCTGATGTGAAATAGGAGGTTTTATAGTAGAGTTTGGTTGCGCTTTTTGGAGAGTAATTGGGGCTTAAAAGGAAGACTGAAGCATTTAAGGAACTCATTTATATTGGAAAATTCTAATTGTAAATTAAATTCTTTATTTTTTAGAACAGGGAAATGCAATATTACATTGCTTTTCTAGTTTTCAGGATTTTTTAAAATTAAAATTAAATTATTTAAAAGGAAAAAAAGGATAGGTTGGTGCTTATACAAAAATGTTTTTATAATTTATGTTAAAATTAATTTTTTAACTTGGAATGTGCATTGTGCAGCTTATAAAAATGAAAATTAGTAAAATGGTTTAAATGTGTTTTATTTTTAATAGTTGAATATTATTTTTTAACATTTGTTTTAATAGTAAAATGTTTAAGGCTTCAAAAACTAAAACTTAATCTGTGATCAATTTGTCAATATTTTTAACAACGGTCATATTTGATGAAAATAGTTAGAAAAGCAAACATATTTTTGATTTTGAAAGAATTAAAATTAATCTCTGAAAGCTTTTATATAAAAGCTTTCGTACAAGCTTTTTCAAGATCAGCTGTTTGTCTCTGAAAAGCATGTGCTGCGCTGCGCTGTGAATGGCAAAAAGAACAGCTGATCAGTCATAGCGTGGCAGAGCGAAAAGTGAAAAACTCTCTTAGTTTTATCGCGATTGCAGCAGTTTTCCCTGAATTCAGCCGTTCAGGAAGTGATGTTTTCTTGTATTTTCTAACTTAATAAAGTGTTAAATCACTGAAAAACTTAAAAGAATATCAGCTATAATTGTGAGTTGGCTTAAAGTTCAAGGCAGCAGTTCAAGTTTTTATACTGTAATTATTTCTCAGATAAACACCGGCAGAAGAGCGGGAGTCCCCCACTGCAGCAACGATCTTCACTCGCACCTAAACCCTCTCAGATGTTTTCATGGGTTTTACAAAAAGTGCAAAAAGTCTGGCCTTCTGTTATATAAAAACCAGAATCTTCAACTCTGATTTGTTTGTCAGAATTTTAAATCAGCCAAAAGATAAATTTTTGAGCAGATTCAAAAGCACTTTCAGTCCAGTCAAAATGGACAAGGTCTACTTTAGAAATGCCAGCGATAGCACAGATCTAGATATAGTCTTTCGCTTTGTAAACGCAAATCTAAACATAAATCGGGAGTTTAACTTACGTCGCCAAATGACTGAGCCCATAGAAGCTATATTGGCTAGGATTCAAAATAATGTACAAACAAAGCTGGCCAAGTCCTCCAAGAAATCCAAAAAACCAGCTCCCGAAATAGAAGTTAAGTTGCTGAAAGACAATAATGAGGGAAACTTCAAGGAAATGACATTCGGCGAGCTGTTTTCTAAGGATTTCACTGGAGTTAAGCTGCAGGTGTTGGATACAGCCTACGAAGTGGTCTTCAATCCACCTTGGATCTCATCTATTAAACTGCCTTCGTGCATCCTGGCAGGATTCGTGATTTACCCGACCAATCTGCAGATACAATTCGGTGAAAGGGAGTACAGCAAAGGTGTGTGGTTAAAGGCAAAAAAATCAACAGACGCCGAATGGACGCACTGCGGAGAAGGCTTTCAGTACCTAGTAAAACCAGAAGATGTCGGTTACTATTTAAAATTTGAATTAACCCCGAGAAATGAACAGGGAATAGATGGTCCTGTGGTGGAGAAGATATTAAGCTCTGCAGTGCAGGAATCACCAGGACTTTGTCCATTTCAAAAACGACAAACCCACACTCCTGATTACCTAAGTAACCCAAATGAGATTCGGGTGATAACCTATAATCTGTTAGCTGATTTATATGCCAGCAGTGACTATGCTGGTAGCACTCTCTTCTCATATTGCCCTTCGAAATACCTGCAAAAAGACTACAGGAAGCCGCTCTTCATCAACGAAATCATAGGCTATAACTCCGATCTTATTTGCCTGCAAGAAGTCGATCAACGCATTTTTGATTTCGATTTAAAGGAAATTCTGGAACAACCTCCTTACAATTTCCAGGGCCTGATGGCTCCCAAAGGGAAATGTGCCGAGGGAGTGGCCATTTTCTTTCGGAAATCGCGCTTCGAACTATTGGACTCTCAAGTTCTGCATTTAGGACCTAACATCCCCAAACTGCCCGTTTTCCAGAGCCTTTGGAATAAAATCAAAGTTAATTCCCAATTAGCAGATCGAATCTGTGCGAGATCTACTACCCTACAAACTTGTTTGCTCAGAATTAAGGATACGGATAACTATGTCCTTGTGGCCAACACGCATTTATATTTTCACCCAGACTCTGATCACATTCGTCTCTTGCAAATGGGATTTTCCATGCTCTTTGTAGAGGATTGCATTAGGAAAGCCGTAAAAGATTTTAGTATTGGAAGTACTGAAAATATTGGTCTGATATTCTGTGGCGATTTCAATAGCGTTCCCGAATGTGGAATCTACAAATTGATGACCGAACAGCTGGCGGAAAAATCTCTAGAGGATTGGCGTAGTAACACCGAGGAGGCGGTCACCGATGTTGAACTCTCGCAGCCTTTTAAAATGGTTTCAGCTTGTGGCGCCCCAGAGTATACCCATTATACGACACTTTTTGCGGGTTGCTTGGACTATATATTCTACCAAAACGACCGCTTCGAGTTGCTCAAATATGTTCCATTGCCAACGGAGGAGGAGTTGAAGGAAAATGCTGGCATACCATCAGCGGTTTTTCCTTCTGATCATGTGGCTCTCGTGGCCGATCTTAGGTTTAAGTCGGTTGTTTCTTAAATAGAGAAGTTGAGGTAGTAGAGTAGATGATGGTAGAAGATGCTTAGGTTGTCTAAAAACTCTGGGATTTCAAAAGCATAATTGTATGAAAATTAAAATATATTCTTAAAAATATATTTTGTTTATTTATTTTTCTTTCAAAGCATTTAAATTCTAAGTACTTCCAAAATAAAACGTTTAAATATTAGCTTTTTAAAAGTTAAACCTTTTGTCTTATTATCTCAAAAATACAACAAATATTTTCCTAAATTAAAACGAAAGAAAAAACAAAAAAATCTTCCAAAAGAAATTGCGGAATGAAGTGACAACAAATTGAGTAAATCCCTGAGTGGCTTAGCTCGCCTGCTATATAGCATCTGCCTCATGCCTGGCTTTTTCTGGCTCCTGTTTTCCGGCTGATTGCAGGACGCCGAGCAATTAACGTGAAAATTCGCCAAGGAAAGACCTTGTGGAGGTGGCAACAACAGAAAATCCGAGAGAGAGTGTAGAAAAAAATAGTATCCCAGGCCAACTGAAGTGATTTTCGCACTAATTAACTGCACTTAGTTGACACATACCAATCTATTCACACCGCCACTCTCACTCCCATTGCCCCTCCCAGGACAACGTTGTCGTTTGCCATAATCAGAGCCAGTGCAGCATTTTAATTGGTTTCCACACAGTGCTGCCAATATAAAGTCCCATATGTGCAATCGGAATTTTCCACAGAAATTATTAGAAAGCAAATGAAATGTGAGTGTCCCGATGTAAGCTACATTGCGGGTTAAGATTATAGTTATGAAAGTAATGATGGTTATTATTATTTAATCTTTGTTTTAATTACAGAATTCGTTTATGAAAATAACTACAAAACATCTTTAAAGAATTTACTTTACCAGAAGTTTAAAAAGTGACTTTTAAACTTTACTAGATTCTAGTAGCAAAATGTGCTATTTAAAGGGAGTTTTAAAAGGATACAATTTTGCATCTTAAAAATAGAAAAATAAAGTTTAACCAACTTATTTATACTTAAATACTATTAATTTTCCTATAACTGTACAAGTTCGTGTGTGGTGTTTTGTAAGCCCTGCAACTCTATAATTACGTGGGACCGTGTTGACAACTAACTTCTTGCTGTGAAGGAAATGGGAAATGCTGTGGGGAAGCAAGGAAAAACGGAGCTCTCTTTTCAATTCCCAGTTCAGCTTGCCTGAGCTACTCATTTTCCAGCACATATGCGGCATATTGTTATTGCACATCAAAGTGAATTCGCTTGATTTAGTCCTGATTTTTCCATGGTAACATGGGTTAGAGAAAATTCAAAAGAATTTAATGAGTTTCTGGGTATGGTTATTAAGTTTATTAGTTGGTTTCTGATTAGTTTTTTTATCAATATTAATAAGGTATTTCCTAATTTGACTTTTAAAATAAAAACCTTAAGAAATACTTTTTCTTATTAAACCTTATTTATGGCCCAAAAGTAATCTCAAATTTATTCGAAAATACATATTTATATGTGACTTTTTAAGCCCTAAGCTGGAGTTCATAAAAAACTGACAGCAAATTACCTCCCAACGACCAAGGGTCAGTAGCCAGGACATTTTATTTACTTTGTTGATTAAGCTAAAATAGCATAACAGCTGGGGAGAGAGAGAGTGAGAGAGAGATCATCCAAGTGGCAAAGTTACGAGCCAACTGCCAAGGCTAAAATCCTGCACAAAAAACTCCCAAAAAAATAAAGCAATGAAGAAAAAGCAAACGGAAGCATACGGAAATGCCAAGAGCGTGGATTACATTAACGCAGTATTTTCATAGACGAGGGTGTAGTAAGAAGAGTGGGGCTTGGATTTTGGTAGGACGGTGCGAGTTGGCAAATTAAACGCCCGGCCGGGTCAACTTGTGACACGAAACTCAGTTGCAGGGGTAGGTGGCCAGGAATGCTGAGTGGGCAGATTTTATACAGAGAAAAACTTGAGATTTAGAATTAAAAACTTGAAGTTTTTTTGTTAATACTTTCATAAAATTTAAAAGGCATATCAAAAAGTTAAAGTTAAAGTTAATCCTAAAATCTAAATGTAAATAGAAAAATGAAATTTATCACAGTATCTCTGAGTTGAGAGGGAACAGCTTGTAGTATTTGGCAAGTTCAGGGACATTGCCAGGGGACAGTGTCAAGATCAAGTCTGTGAGTCCGCCTCATTCATTCTACTTCCCCCCAAAGGTCTAGTCGGTTTCAATTAATTTCACGGCGAAGGGCATGGTACACGGCTGGCTGGGGAAAAACTAAAGAAAAACTGTGTTTTCCAGGCACTTTTGTGTCAAAAAGTTGTCGTCGCGACGTTTCCACTGTGTCGTCTCGCCGCCCGAGTTTCCCTTTTGCCCAGATTCCTCCCCTTGATTTCTTTCCTTTTTTTTTTTTGTATATTTTGCCCAGCCATTCCTCTAGTCCTTGGAATGTTTTTATTTAATTTTTTTTCTGCTCTCGAGTGCAGGAAATGCGTACTTCCTGTTTGTTGTCTCTGCAAGCTTTGGCATATTTGCGTGCCTGCCTCCTGTCTCTTTCTCGCCTTTTGGCAGCCTCTTTTTTCAACTCCCCCAGCGATTTTCCTTTATCTCTGTGTGAGTTTGAGGGACAATGAATGCACTTGCTCATGGTCTTGGACTTGGTCTCAGACTCTGTCTGCGATTCTGCTTTTCCTTCGACTTTGTGGGGGTCACCCCATAAAAGTTTTCCTTCCTACTGACGCATAATTTTACATGTTGTCGTTCTTGCTTTCCCTTCTCTTGCAGATACTCTAGGTTTGAGGATGTTAGGGTATATAATATTCGTATCGGGAGTACAAAAATAATAACATATTACAGAATTATCAACTAACTATACGTGGAACCCAATATATTTCCCTTTAGAACTTCAACTATATATTTCCAAAGCTAAACAGGGTATCTTATAGTCCTTAGTTTTTAAGGATTCTTGGGGCAGGCAGGCAGGAAATGTCTGAGCTCAATGCACTGCCCGTTCCGTTGGTTTTGTTAAAAACTTGCTACCATTTATCTGTTTTGTGTACGTGTATGTGGAGACGGTTCATCCTTCAGCTCCTTCCCAGCAGTTCACATCCCCGGGACTCCCCCAGTGTGGCAGATTCATCCTCTGGCTCAGAAAGGGTGCGTTGATACAATTTTTTTTGTAAAAGGCTCTGTGCAAAATTTTTCCGGCAGGAGCTTATTGGAATGGATAGATTGGTTGGAGAAAAAGGAAAGGTCTCTTGCAAGTTACTTCCTTTTTGTCCGCATTAAAAAAAGCCACCTTTCAGTGCTGGGACTTTTCTGTTTAAACCTTTTACTGGCCAGCAAAAAGAAAAAGTAGCAACTTTTAATAGAGAAAACATAAATAAAAGCGTATAAGTTAGTCCTCCTTTATGTCTAGTTTTCATCATCAAATCAACATAAGTCTGCCAGAATGATGGGTAGATGTTGTCATAGGTCAGTCATATGAATAGAGTCGCTTCGTCAACAGAAGTCCCCACCCGAACTGAAGTTTGTGTGTTCATTGAGGGCTTTGAAAAGGACTGGGAGAGTATACTGCCTTGTGGGCGTCTGTTTCTGTTCATGGACATGTATATGAGAATGCTCTGTGTTGACCTCTTTGCACTGCCATTTTCCCCACTTCTAACTACTACTACTACTACTACGAGTACTGCTCCATTGAGAAGCTTGGGGCAGCACTCCCATCATAGAGACAACAACACATTTTGGACACACTCCGAGCAACAAGGACTACAGCGGTATGAGCAACAAGCGGCGACCACAAACGCAAAGTTCTTCGCGTCAACTTAATGGAGTTCGGCAAAATGCCACCCAAATCACAGAAGGATAGTGTCTTATGTCGAATCTTGAAATACACTTTGGAGTCTTGTTTTAAAAAACTTCAAAGTGAAAATGATTTTTTTTTTATTAATAACTATCAAATAGCATAGTTTTAGGGGTTTTATTCTAGGACTCTGATATCGTATCCTGAACTCAGTCTAAAAACCAAACTAACCCAAACAGAGAAAGGGAAAATTGGAGACGAAAAGTGCACTAGGTTTTCACCGCAAGGTTCCAAGTGCTTTGTTTCTGTTGTTCCTTACATGGATTTTCAGAAACCGTCTCCATTGGAATCTCCCTGCCCTGCCCCAATGCGTCCACCACTTCTGGAGCTTACCACATGGTGCACTTTGTAATCTGTCGGCGTTATTGCATTGTGTGGTCGCCCGCCGAGGTGGGCGGTGTTCGGCTGTGTGTGTGTATGTAATGTCACCTAGACTTTTGAGTGCATTTTCCTGCGGTCGCTCTTTGCAGTTGCTCAAGAAGTTTATTGGGTTCTCAAGGAGCAGCCGCCTTTTGGAATTTGATCCGCTTTCAGGGCGAAAATTCACTAGAACCTTATCCAGCTAATTGATTTGTATCTTGTATGAGAATTTTATGAGGCTTTCCTCTTTAAATTGTTTTATAAGGAAAATTCTTATCAATCAAGTTTTTGGGTGCGGGAGACCGCAACAGCCACAAAGGAATTTCCACTCTCTCTGTGTCATGCGATCTGGTTGTGCCTCTTATTTTTCCGGCTCACCTTAACAAGAGCCTCATAATCGCATCAGGAATTTTCTTGTTAAGCGTCAAGAGAAACAAAATAAAAAAAATAATAAAAAAAAACAACGAAATTTTCGCAACTTTTAGCGCGCGTCGCGTCGCCGCAGAAAAAGTCAACAGAGCGGGGAAGTGGGAGGGCAGTATAAGAGGAGTCCTTTGTGGACCGGGCTTGAGGTCCTTTGCCTCTCCTCCCCTTCCCCCCCTCTTTCTCCCTGGATTGAATATACAAACAAGGAAAAGTTTGTAAACAAAAATTCTGTTAAAGGGCAGACTCTCCTTTATAGCGGGGATGGAAGGTGGAAAATCGGAGGTCTTTGGGGCTTTTGGGTTAGAGGTTTTCCTATGGGTTAAAGCGCGGGGAGCCGGGAAAGTTTTTACATCATGATGCGGCGATG